GGGTTTGGTGAATAGGACAGACACAAACTGTTCTGAAATTTTGCAGTGGAGTTCTAGGCTTCAGACTCAATCTTTGTTATTGACACTATTTGGTAGAAGAAGTACAGCCTAAGTTCAGAGGAAAATGAGGGAGTGGATCATTCGATGGCATCCATTTCACCTAAGTATTTCACATACCTTCTTTGGCCACCAATCTGACATACTATGTGGGACACCTGTTAAGGTAGAAGCTACTGGCTGTTTTTCTGTTTATGCAAGCTTTGTGCATAAAATACTAGTAATGCCCTTCTCAAATATGTTCAAAACAAGTGCTTAACATTTGTTCTACTCTGTCACACATGGTTTCTATAATCTGTTCAAAATGAATCTCTTCCTTTTTATGTCTGAGTGCTTCCAAGTAAAAGTCCAAATATTCTTCAAACATAAGTCAAGTGTCATTCATATAAAGAGCTGCTTGTCGCCTTTGGGATATTTAAGTACTAGTCTGAACTAGATACATTTGTCTTTTAGCATAGAGACACAAAACACAAGTAGCACAGATTTTCTTTTTTTCCTTATGGAACTGAATTTATTAAATACTTGACCAGGAACCACATATATGTGTATGCTGCAGGTGGTTACTGTTGGATATTTAATTTTGATGCAAATCAAAATTAAATATCCAACAGAAAACATGTGGGCAGGCAGCTCCCAGCAAAAAAGGGTGTGGTGAATGAATTTTTTTCTTCAAGGACTAAAAAAATATATGTTCCTGAAACCTCAGAACAGCCAGTAAAAACTGTATGAGCACGTCTCTCTACAAAAAGTGATCATTTTAACCAAGTGATGTTCTCTGTTGAACTGCAGGTAGCAGATGGCTCTGCAAATGCACATATTGAGCAGCCTGCCACAGGGCATTACTAAGATCTTCAGCCCACAAAAGGACTTACATGAATTATTTCTCTCTACTCAGGCCATATAAAATGCAGTGTATGGGGCAAGACATGAGGAAACTGAACTGAAAATCCTGGGGCCATCAGATAAATAGCAATAGCCTCTAGGAAAACATGTGGTTGTTAGCACTATGCCATCCAATTGATTCAGGGTGTCACACTTCAAAGAAATGTTGAAATAGCTCCTTAAAAGGTTTTATTGTACTTAAATACATTGTGAAAAGGAAAATTATTGAAGTCTTATTTTCAAAACATTTCTGAGCTTTTTAAAATGCTGTCTGTTTTGTAATGAGGAAGAACTTTTAAAGTATAATGGGACAATAATTTGGCATGTTAATTTGTTAGTGAGCTTCAGCTTACCACCAAAATGAAACCAGAAAACCTTAAAATCATCTCTGAATTCAGATTCATGGGGTCAGACTTGATCTAGCTCACACATCTGACCATTTGCTTGCTTTGTAAATCAATCTAAAGAGCCTGACTCCCTTGGACCATGTCTCCATTTCGCTTGGACCATGTCAGACTCCATTTGTAGTCACTCTTTCTAGTGACATATATTTATTTCACTGGGACTTCATTTTACCTCTTAAAAACTCTGTCAGTTTTGTCTTTGTAAAAAACTCACTGAGTATCTGACAGATCTTCACAGTTCACTCTCCCGTTAGCAAATAGTTGAAGAAAATTGTTGTATTTTTTTCTAAATTATGCCAGGAATAGATCACACTTTTATGCCTCTCAGCCTCCTTGTCATAGATTAGCTCCTATTCACATCTCCATGTAGTTAAGCTTCTCTGACAGCATTTTGACTTCTTATCTTCCCAGTGACTTCTGAGAAATAGCTTCAGGTCTTGCAACCTGTACTACTGCTTAGGCAAAAATCTATTTTATGAACTTAACAATTCTGTTCTGTTTCAATCAGACCTAATAATGCTGTCTAGTGACATGGACAGAAAAAAAAAAAAAAGGAGGGGGGAAAAATAAACTAAAAATCAACAAAAGCAGGTATGTATTATTAAGAAGCAAGGGACCAAATTTAGAAAGAAACCATGTGCTCATATGGAAACAACTGCTTCTCTCAACCCTGGTTGTGACACATTGTAATATGGAAAACTCTGCAATTCTACTGAGTAGCATTTTCTCAGAAAACGTTCTTTCATTCAGTTCTGTGCCAACAGATTAAAAGCAGTGTCTAAAATAAAATCTTCAAGGAGATGTAGTCTAGATGAAGTCTGATTATTTTTTTTTATGATATACAAAACCTGAGAGCTTTTAGCAAAAAACTTGAAGTTCTGCCTAAATTTAAAAAATCTGTTCAGACCTCTTCAAACTATTTTGGGATTGTTTTAAACCTACATCTTAATTAAGGTATTTATGCTCTGGAAGAAACATATGGTCTTAAAACTAATGTCTGAAACATTGGAACGATGAGACAGAGGAAAATTACGTGAAAATACAATTGAAATTCTCGTGTGTTTGTTGCCTGAAGCCAGCAAGCAGAAAAGGAACAGACAGTCACGTTGCAGAGTAGAGAACTCCAGTTCTGCAGCTTGGTATGGAAATAGCAGAAGTTTTGCAATTAAAAGCAGGCACTTTGTGAAGTTAGTACCAAACAGGAGAAAATGTTGAGGGTAAATGCAACCTCATCCCAAATAATAGGCCTCCAGGCTCCAAAGAGAAGTACACAATGAAAACCCTGCAGCTATGATCATATTAATTCAAAAGAATCCAACTCACACTGAAGAAAAAAACAGAAAAGCTGAGAGGAAATGTTGGGGCAAGTCACAACACTGTAAAAGAATTGCAGAAAGAAAAAAAAGGCAGGTGAGCACACAGCTGATAAATGCATATGTTTGGGATAAACAGCTCCATTCTCTGCCTTAATACTGTAATGAACTCAGGAGGATACTTGCAAAAAAGGTTCATAAAAGTTGACACAGAAATGTCATCTTGTGCAGCAGAGATGCTCAAACTATGGGTGCATTAGATCACAAAACAATGCAATATGAAGGGCCCTTTTTAGTATTCTCCCTGATTAAAAAGATATTTCAAATAAATAAGCACTTAAAAATGAAGCTGATCCCACTATTGGCATCCCCCAAGCACAGAATTATGTCAATTCTATTGGGGACTCTGCAAAAAGAGCTGGTAATCATGCAGAGAAGAAGAGAGGAAGAATCACCATTTGCACAGGGAAAGCATATGTAATCAAGTTTTATTGACTTTTGATGCAGCAACAAAACATCTCAGCAAAGTAGCTCTCCTGGAATATTTACCTGCACAAATGCTGTGACCGCTCCTTTAAAAGACAGAGTCTCCAAGATGGGGAATGTGCAATTTATATTCTGTACCCTTCACTCATCACCCTGCCTGAAGGCACAGTCTGACTGCTGGGATATTATGATAATGGTGATTTTGAGTCAGGATTAAATTTACTTCAAATATTTTGTCTGCAATATCTTTTTGCTGGGAACAAACAGAAAGCACTATGTAAATTTGACCAAGACAGATTGAACTGTTGCTGCTTTATGAACTCTGGAGAGCTTGAGCAGCATCAATCACTTGGTCAACCTCTTTCTGCCTAGGTCCTCTCCCACCGTCCTTGCCGTCAGTCCTTGCAATCTGTACTACCCTCCCCACAGCATGAGATGCAGGATTTCTCAAGGTGCCAGCTTTGAGACTGCTAATGTTTGTAATTCAGATGTTTCAGAACTTTGTTTTCCTTCTGTAAACAGTACAAAATGTGTCTTTATAACAAGTTTTGCTCTGAGGATTAAGGGGATTTACAGTGACAGAGTGCAGTTACAGCAGGTCAGTAATAAACCATCTCATGCACCAAAACCTGACTCTTGTGACACAAACATGGAATTGACAGTATGGGTGATCCTGTTACATATTCTGTTCTGTTTGGTATGCAACAAAGAATAAGATAATATGTGTAAAAATCCAATTAGTAAAAACAACTTCATACTGGAGAAAAAGCCTAGGTCAGAAGTCCCAAATCCAAATAACAATTAGAAATGCAATAAATGGAAAACCCAGAAACCTGAAGCTTCCAAAAGCAATTAGATGTGGTGACTCTTAGGTGTAGGAGTGAAGTCAAGATGAGAAGCTTGTGCTTTCCAATATTTCCCTCCATCTCCTCCATGTTATGCCTGTAGAGAAATAAAAAATGTGGAGAAAGCTTTATGAATACAGGTGTTGTGCACTAGTATCTGCAGATATGTTGTCCATTTTCCCTGTAGGAAGACAGTTCTAAAATTATGTAGGGGGTCACTCTATTACATCTAAAATTTGGGGTCCTGTGTAAACAGGAAATTTAAAATGAAAAACTGAAAATAAAAGTAATTAGAACTGACTTAATTGTAACTTGGAGAAGTAGTTCACCTAAATCCTCTGAATATGGTAGAAATGCTTGCATACACCATTAGATGGATTTCTGCTCTTCCATTGCTGTTTCCTGTTGCCACTATTTTCCATGTCTCTTGTATATTTAATAGCTTTTGTGGTTTAAAAATTGCTTTTACACATATTTACAGGCTTTGATGTTCTCTACTTGACAGATTAATAACCTCAAACTGTTTAGAAGCCCTCTATCTCTTTAAAAGATCTCATCAGATGGAATGTAATACACATTATTGGTTATAGGCTTGAGAATGTTGATAAGTACCATGGGGGGAAATGGTTTGCAATAATTCTCTTTGAATCCAAGAACCAGTTAAAATATATTTTAACCAATTAATATATTTTTGTTTGTTTTATTGGTTGGTTTGTTGTTTTGCTTGTTTGTTAGTTTTTTTGTTTGCTTTCTATCCAAAAAAAGATATTGAGTGCAGAAAATTCCACACTTTCACCAGATAATGCAGGACAGACTCTTTACAACCCTCTGTTTCCCCACGTGAACATTACCATAGGAGTGGATTTAGAATGTATTTGACCAGCTGAGAATATCAGAGAAGATATTTCCATTAGTGTGGTGCTGTAAGCCTCATCTTCATTTGGGGCCACATTCAGCACTGAAGCTGGAAACGTCCATGAGAAGTCAGAGATTCTGCCAAGTGATTGCCCTCCAAAGACAAGCTGACTTCAGAATGCTGCCTTAGGGGTGAAATACAAGCTCTAAGACAATTTCTGAAGGCATTCCAGTGAGGAGGGTGCTGTGCCAGGTGGAGCATCCCTTTGGAGTGACTCCTGCGCTGGTGCTGAGGTCACAGAGTGCTGCCTGGGCTATTCACTCTTTGCCATCTAAATCTATATTTTGAAAAGGCAAGGAAGAGTGAGAGGGAAGAAGTGCCCCTAGCTAAGACAGACAACAGAAGAGAATTTAATTCAGGCAGCTCTTCAACTTTGGAGGCTTTTGGAGGTGAATAGGCTGCTGCATGTCTGGAAACTCATATACTGTGAATTTCCACACAGACACATCCTTTTGCTCTCTGGGGACAGACCAGAGAGTTTCTCTTAGAGGCACCCTGCTGTGATGGAAGAGGAATACAGCATACATTAACCTAGGCAGAATGACAGTGGCTCTGCTCACTCTTCAGCAGTATGAGAGAAACAAAAGATTTTTGATGTATAATAGAGAAGGAGAATTCAGCATCTGCAAAGTCAGGCAAATTCATCACATTTCTTGCAAGTAGGAGACAATCCATGCAGGGAATATACCTGTACTTATGCTGTTGTTTTCAAGCATACAAACCCAAAACACAGACAAGGTATTACTGCGAGGACCAGCTCGGGCAAAATATGGAAACAATCATCGCACTTCAGAGAACTTCATTTTCTGTCATCTACTGCCAGTTTGTAGACTTTTCCTTTGAAAAGTAAATAGCACGGGGTGTTTTGTGAAAACAGGAGCAATGCTGGCAAGCAAAACAATGTCTGACTTCAGTGGATGCTGCTTGAAGCCTCACCTGGTGCTCGGTGTTGGTTCTGAGACTAGTGCAGTCTGGAAGAAAACAGGCTTAAGAGAGATGTGAAGACAGCCCTTGAATATCTAAAAAGTCTGCTGCAAACAGGGAAAGAATAAATTGTTGTCAAGACCTGACAGAGAAAGGGCAAAGAATAATGGGTTTAAGTTGCAACAGAGAGAGGAACAAAGTGGTTGGGGCGGGGGTGCTGTAGGATCATCACTGCTGGCGGTGCTTGTAAGCAGCATCAGAACATGTTCCCCAGCAGCCATGGAACATTCCTCCTCAGACTGGGAATGGAAACCTTCCAGAGACCTTTTCCTACTCCTGGCTTCAATTTTGTTGGCCAGGTGTGAAGCATAGAGCCTGAATTCAGTCCCAAATTTCTTTTGAAATATGTACACATGTAAGAATTTTATTATTTGTAGATAGTGCTGATGAGTGAGGATAAAATATGGAGTGTTCTTTGATATGTTAGTTCTAAACCACGTGTGAACTGCATAAAGAAGCTTTGTTAAGGACAGCACTTAAGTAATATTTTCTTTTATAACACTAATGGTATTAAATTGTTTTATTTGGGTCTTAGTTTAAAATAACACTCTGAGAACTCAGAGTGCCTAGACAGTTCCTCTGCTGAGACTGAATAGGTCATCCAACTTAATGCATAAAGTCCAGTCAGTGTATTATGAGAGGAGAGTGAAAGTGTTCCTCAGTATCTCTAACTCTCCCAAAACTCATGCATATTGCAGTGTTTGACATTTAATTAGGATTTTATGCAGGCAGTAAATATTATATAGAATTAAGCTGTTGCTCCAAGCATGAACTGTTTTTATATATATTTCTCTCTCTCATGGTCTGGCTGTAACACATCCAGAGTTGTTACATCAGACTTTTGGTATCAGACCTGAGGATGTTTTGGAGGTGGAGGAAGCATGGTAGGGTATTTGGGAGCACCTTAAAGTTTAGGATGGATGCATCCCTGCAGGAGCAGCAATAGCCCAAGCAAGCCCTTGCTCAGCCACCACGTTTCTCCAAGGAGGGGAGCCAGACTCAGCTCTGACAAAGCCAGCCTGCAGGACATGGAGAGGGCCACATTCCTGGCCAAGGACACTGGCCACATTGCAAGTAAGAACCCTGAGCTAGCAGAACAGTACACATATATTCTATGCTCTTCACTTTTTAGGAAGACTTCTGTGCCTGCTAAACATCTGTTGTCATCTATTTTCTTAGAGTTATATATTGCTGTAAAATAATTCAGGTTAGACGCTTGTCCTAAAGATCAACTTTTAACAAAATGCAGGGGTGTTTATATTAAAAGACATAGCCAAGACCTTATAAAGGTAGAGATAAAAATTTGGGATAGCAAAAGCATGTAGGTTTGTTCCAGAAGGTCAGTTGTGGGGTTGCTAATTCGGAACAAAAGTTCAGTGCAGTACGGGATTGAGGAAACACAGATTTATGGCATTAAGCACGAGCTTTCTGTTCTAAAAAGGTCTTGTAACACGTAAAAGAAAGATTCTTTCTAGGAAAATATCTCATCTGGGAAGACAGAGGAAAAAATTCCATTGTTATCGTGAGTTTATACACATGAATCAAGCTAAGCATATACTTAAGTGTTTTTCTCAGTCAGGACTCCTGGCCTTTTGATTTCTGTGAAGTATTCACAATGTAAAGGCAAACAAAAAGAAAAGGTACTCCAAAAATTGATCTGTTATCATATATACCAATTAATGATGCAGTCCAATTAGGTTCATTAAGCCCTGATACAACTGAAGTGAAGATAGTATTGCACTGGAATGAATTTTGCTTAACTGACCTAAAGAAAATGCTCCTGAGTATGTGATTCAGTATTAGCATCTGACTGCATAAATGTCTTTCCTTGTCCCAAAGAATAATAAGTATTTTGATCCCATTTATGACTCCTATTTTGTAGACTCTCTCTATTACATACGTTCAATAAGGCACAGTACTTATTAATTTCATTTTATGTATTTTTTGTATATTTTTGAGATTTTAAATATTTTTTCCATATTGAGTGGAATTTCCCATATATGTGTTTTTTCATGTTGTGTATGAAGTGCACCTTCATTATCCATTATCATACTGCAGCAATAGTATTGAGACACTAGGATAGCAGAAGACAAGAAATTAAAAGCATAAATGGTTGCATTTTGGGAGACTGTGTGCAGTATAATGAAATTCCAATGCACTATGTTTCCTAACAATAAGAAAACTTATGTTGCAAGAACATTGTCTTTTTTCTTACTTTACAGATTAAAAGACTCAATTCAGACTGAGCAATATTAAGCTATGCCCGTAGTATTGACAGATTACATAGAACTCATGTCATTCAAGACTTCTGTTCACACCCTGTGGTTGTATTTTTTTCTATTTATTTACTAGGCTGCTAATTTCTCATGTTGTATTAATTTAGCTGCTTCACCAGCCTTGTCTAGATGCGACTTTTGCAAAATGACATTCTGGCTGCCCTAGTCTGGGGATCAACAGCCCATAACTTGCCCTGCCTGTGCCCAAATTTCCCTTGCCCAGGATTTGTGGGTCTCCAAGAGCCTGACAGCTCTGGGCAGGCTGTGGAGATGTCACAGCTCTGGGTGCATCCGTGGCTCTGGTGCAGACCACCAGAGGAGCCCATACAGGCAGAGCTTGGGATGCTGAAATGGGGCTCTGTGCATGACTCAACATCTCCTGGGCTCCACAAGAGCTTAATGGAACACGTGCAGCAGGCCTGACTTTTCTCACAAACAGGTTATCTGTTTTTCGTGTGTGCAGTGGCTCTGAGGTGTCCCAGTTGCATCCATTTCCCTGCGTTCGCATTATCTGGGCAGAAATCCTGGGCAGAAATATGGGAATCCTGCCTTTAATACCAGCAGCACGAGGGGAAGAGGAAATGAGTATGACACTACATTAGCATGCAGTATATTTACACTAAATTGGCTGTTGTAATCTGAGTTGAAGTCATTATTCCTGTACTGGCTGGGCATCACTTTATGCATTATAACATTATTCTAATTCTGCAGGTTATATCAGCTTGCTTTTTTTTTCTCCACTTTCCAGCTGTGAGATGTGTTGCAATTGGATTTTTATGCCATTCCCAGCTTTCCACCCTCTAAAGTGAGAGATTATTGAAAGCATGCCCCCTTTCCAATTTCTAGGTGCTTATGCAAGGTGAAAGACGGCATAAACAGGAAATATAATTTGTAATTCCTTATTAATTCTGTATCTCTGCTATCATTTGTCACCTCCTTTGTTACTGTAAGTGTTGTGCAGAATCTCATTAGTGGTCATGCTTTCTGGTTTCTGTTCTCTGTTTTAAATCTGTTTCTCATTTCCTGGCTGTTAGTTTTTGCTTGAGGGTTGTTTTAATTTATGGTATTGTCATTCTGGCTCCTATTTGTGGTGTGAGATGATGGTCTCTGTGCATTTATAACAGTTCTTGTAGCTTTTCACATTCATGTAATTCTTTCTTTCAAGTACTCCCAAGTTCATGTTATTTTGCATAATGTCATTGCTGTCTGGATAAAAATTATTGCACTTTAAGCATCAGTAAAGACGATTATCATCCGATTTAGAGTATTTTGAAGTTTGCATTTCAGATGGAATTTTTTGACACTGGGTTTTTTGCATGCTGGCAAATGAGCAATTAAACAGCTACACAGATGTTACTGAGGGTCTTCATGAACATTTCATTGCAATCTATGGGGCAGTGCTTTTGCAGTAAGAAATGAGAACATTCAGGTTCAGTTCAGACAAAGGAAATAAATGGCTCTTCTCTGTGGCATCAAGAAATAAAATGTCTACCATGAAATAAGAGAAATCATTTTAATAAATTGGCCCAAACTTTCTTTTTGTCTCTTGTTACTATAATTTAGTAGCAGCCATCATCCATTTAAAAAGAACTCTGTATGAGGGCTGTCAATCGCTAATATTAACTAACCATAAATTCCTCTTCCCGAGCACAAAAGTATCTTGAAGTCATGAGGTCTTGTGAAACATTGAGAGGGGAAGAAGTATTTCCTATTTAGCTTCCCTGGTTTTGGACCTTATATTCACATGATCATATTTTATTCCATAATCACACGGGATGAGCATATACTCCAGTTTAATTATGTGAATACACAGACTTAAAAGCTCTGGATGTAAGAAGTATGCATTATTTGTAAGACTTCACTAATTTGGTGATGCTGACAAGTCTGGTGGTTTTTTTCATTTTTTTTATGGATTTAAGAATTCTTTTTTTCTGTCCTGGCTTACAGAGTAAAGTTCATTGATTTAGTGTTTTCTAGCACATGTCCCCTTACCATGCCTGTTTTCTTAGGCATCACAAAAGCTGTCACAATTTGCATCCCAGATGTATTTCCAAAGAGGAGTGTCTGAAATCAGCAATTTCAGGTAACAATTCCGAGGGAATTACAAGTAAAAACCAAAATTTGTCTCATGAGCTACCTGGAAACCTGCAGATTGGTACAGAGTACTCTTTTAAGGTTGATGTCTGAGATCATGCAATATACATATTTAAATAAGTTTTATATGACCTTAGCTTTGATCGTGTTCAGATGAGCCAATTAATGTTGGGTTTGATCAGTTCTTCTGAATGTTGTGCTTCTTTTTTTGGGGTCTTTGAGCACTTCTGCTGAGAAATACAACTTCATTTGATTGGTCTAGAAAGCAGATCATTTTTATGGTGTTTTTTTTGACCCTGTGAGCATTAATAAGATCACCTTGCACTGTTTTTTGATGTAATAGAATAATTATTTTAGGCTTTATAAAGTTATTAAATAATTCCTCCATGTTGACATTCATTTTTGTTTTCCCTAATTTTTTCTCAGGACCAGTATTTTCCAACTTAAAGAATTAATCCACTATTTGATTGCTTTGTCCTGAGCTTCTGTTCCTTTTACTTGAGTCTGAATAAAATATTTTCTCCTTAACACTGTCTGAGGCAAACATGGGGCTGGTGCAATACAAGAGGTATTCCCCCTTGCAGTTGGTTGGGTTTGCCATCTGAGTCATGGCACCAACCCCTTCTCTTTCAGGGCAGAAACTTGAACCTGGCAATCAGAAGTTACCAATGGGGAAGTCACCAAAGGAAAAGATGACAGAAATTTTAATATGAGTAAGAGGAAATTACGTAGCCGCTAATTTTCTCAGAAGAGGAAGTTGTGTGTGGTCATGTGCTTGTTTGGGCTTTTTCTCCCTGGAGATTGCTCCCCTGTCCTTACCACAAAACAAACAAATAAAAATCTTACAGCAGAATGCCAATACATGGGAAGTATCATCCTGATTGTTTAAAAATTGATAGCTGTAAACAGCTGACAAACTTATGCAATGAACAACGTCTCATATCTTTGGCAATAGTGGAAGAAACTGTTCAGCATATAACTGTGGATTTATCTCTTTTAGAGGAGATGAAGATTCTGGGTGGAATCCTGGTCTCCCAGATACTACTGGAAATTGGATATTGAAGGGTGGTTCCATTCTCTATTGAAATAAGTTACTACTTCATACATAAATGTTTGGTTTAGAAACTGATGTGATTAATTAAAAACTCTGTGTCAGAAGTCTCTAAGGAGACAGTCACAGCTGAACACTGAACAAGTGTCAATTTGTTAGAAAAAAATAATCTAAAAATTTTAGATCAAGCAAGCCTAGGCTGTGTTGACAGATCATTGTAGCTAGGCAGCTTCTCAAACAAAACCTGACAAGTTCAATTTTGTTAAAGAATGATTTTACACCAAAATAATCCACAAAACATTGAGAATTCAGTCTTGTTTTGATTTCAGTGGTCACTGACTTTGGGCATTTCACATACTCAGACCAACACAATCCAATTTAGTAATCCTCTTTTTGCATTATTTGATAAGTTTGTTAATGAGGAGATGGAACAATATTACAAATTATGAAACCCATGGGAATACAGGTGCAAAGGCATGAAGTCATTTCATTAAAAAGGAGAAAAAAATGGGACTCCATCGCTGACATTCTCTCTTTGGACTTGCACAGCTAAGAAAATTTTCTGCATGAAATGGCAGACCATAGTGAAACCTGCTAATAGGAAATCCTGGAAACCTTAAATGCTGGAGCTATCTGCAGAGATACTTGGACAGTCTGACAGCAGGCACTCATCACAGAAAGGACAAATTTATTCCAGAAGTCATGAAAGGGTTCTCAAGGAATAACAGAGTTACTGACCAAAGGAAATAGTCAGTTCATATGTGCTCTTCAGAATGTTGTTTCTCCTCCTGGCTTGAAATGTTTTATTGCAGGTATCTGGCAATTCTGCTGTAATGACAGTGCTGAAGAAAAAAAAAAAAATTGAAACATGACAGTCTAAAAAACTTGAGTGGGACCATGAGCTACAAAGCAGTTAAAAGGGAAGAAATAACACCAAGATTACTTTCAAAGTCCATGACAAATTCTTATATTAAACATATTAAACTATCAGCAAGAGAATTCAGATTCATTTCTGCAGTGGATACTCTCAAAGAAGAGAGTCTGACCTCTCTTTTTTTTTGTTTTTTTTTTTTTTGGAACTACTAAGCATTTGCTTCTCCTGCTGACTTTAAATAGAAGCCTTGGGGACTCCATGCTGTTAAGAATGAAGCCTGTGATCATTAGCTGAAGGACCTGTTCATAAAAGAGATTCTTATCTGAGTCCTAGGGCCTCTTTGCATGGGGCTTTTCTTGAAGAGAAAGGAAATAGATGAGAAAAGAGACAGTCCAGATGCTAAATTTTTACTACTTCATCAGTCTCTGGCTAGACCTGATGGTTTCCATGACCATTGTTCTGATCTCTTCTTTCCAGCCTTTCTCTCATCTCCACCACCTGAGACAAATCCTGTATCTGACTTTTTGTTCCCTTCCTCACTTTCTTGTCTTTCGTACCGGTCTTTTCCCATGCATTTCACTTAACATGTCTCCAATAATTATTCTGCTTCTTCCCTATCCATTTCCACCCCTCTGCCAAGATTAAAAGAGAGGGAAATGCCTAGCAATACCTCCATACCCTGGGAACTATGATTATATTTGCTGCCATTCATTGCTAGCTGCTCTGGACAAAGGGATGGGCAGAATCCAAAGTTCCATCCATGGGCTGAAGTCCTCCTGGAGAGGCACACATCCAGCCAGTTGTTTGCATCCTACCTAGCAAAAAGACAGTCACACACACAGCTGGTTGATCATTAGATCCTAACACAACAACCATAGCTGATACCACAGTGAATCAGTTGACCATGTTTTTTGGCTTCTGTAGCTTGCAAAGATGAGTGCATGCAAAATTCACAAAATTAATTATTACACTGCTCCATGATTACTTTGAATTTGTAATTTCTTCCTAAGACATGAAGATTTAAATAATCCATTTAGTCACCGTTGTTTCATATTAATTCAGTGTTTGGTTAGACTCTGGGCAGGCTACAGTGTTAGGGTCATTTTAACTCCTGTTTTCATTAACCATTATTATATCTGCTCCTGAAGTGTATGCAAATGAAGGGTAGTATGAATTTGTCAGAATTATTGTAGCTTCATTCCATTTGTCAGGCATAGCAGGATCCTCTCTAGTTCATTGTTTTGTGAAGGCTGTTCTGCACTTGTCTCTTTAATTTCATTTTGCATGCAGGGCTGGTGGTTTCTGCACCGTAGCCTGTGCATCCTTTAGGGGTTTTGTTTGCTCATGTTTACCCCTGATGAGAACACCACACTTCAGCCTGCCTGGGTATTCCTTTGTGTCATTGTGCATGACCCATGTGTGTACCCTACATCACTACATCCCTTTAGGAAAATAGTATTATTTATTACCACAATAACTAAAATTCACTGTTCAAGTGAATTCTCTCTCTCCAGAGGATGCCAATCTGCACAGAAAGCAGAGCTGATACAGAATGAAAAAAATCTCAATGGATTATTTTTTTATTCCTTTTTACATAAATACATGATAAAGAGAAACATTGATTAGGGCACCACAGCTTTTCCTTGTAGCTACATAAAAATAATAGACATAACTAAGCAGTATTTTGTGTTTTATTGCACACACAGAAATTTTTATCTGGCTTACTGATTAATAGGCTACAGAGAGGCTGATGATAGCACAATGACACTTGGTCTGTAATGTCAGTGTATGTGCTTCCCACAGCTCCACTTCACTGCTGGGTGCATTGAATAGAAGAAAAACAATGGGTTTTACTCTGGTTACAGTGATCCATGTACTTTTTCTCCTCTTTGCCTTCCCTGTCTCCTGAGAAAAAATGGTAGGTCAACATTAAGCAAAGAGGTCATTATAGTGGCAGAAAGTCAATGCACCTGACTTCTTGTTGACAGACCTGAAACGCTATATTTTTGTTTCAGATTTTTACGATCATTAACTTCACTGATATTTCTCCTAATTTCTTTATACAGATATAAGTTAGAGTGCTACATTTCTCTGTATGCTTGCCCCAAAATGTTGGGGAAAAGAAGTAAAAATCCCTAATCCAAAGGCTTTTGGTAGAAAAGGAGAATGGGGTTTGAGTTTGAAGAAATCTATCAAAGCAGCAGGAAAAGAAGCAAGGAAAGCAGACAAGAACACCTTTGCTGTCTGGGGATTTCCTTCATTTCCTGATCTGTCCTGTGATGGAGGATTTCTGCTGCCTGGCCAGGCAGGCTCTGTACCCAAGTGCAGCAAGGGAAGAGGGGGTCTTCCCTCTAGCCACAGTCTCTTCAGAAATCCAGATCCTATCAGGATTCTTCTGGTACTCTTCAGAAAAAGTTGGCCTTTTTTCCCCCCACCCCCCTCAAGATTATTTAAAATTCTATTGTGTGGGTTGGCCAATTTTAACATAAATTATGTAGCAAGTGACTTACAGTTATTATTACTAAAATTAAGAGACCCAACCAAGCTTGTTCAATTTGCTTTGAGATATCCAAGTTTTAAACAATCAATGTTTCATAAGCCCATAATGGACCAGATCAAAAAAGCTTTATGCACTCAACAAAATCGAAGGGATTCTACTGCAGTCTTCCATTAAGGTACCATTTATCTACTACTTCCACCTTCAGAGTGTCATGCATTAAGAAAAGAGTTTTCCATAAGAAGGACCTATTTCTTTCTGGAGTGCAATATGATTGAAATTTTTACAATCCAGTCTGAAAATGTTCATATAAGAAATTCCATTTTGAAGCAAATCAGAAGTCTAAATTTCTCGGGTTTTTTTGTGCTTATTATGAATATCATAGGTAGTCTAATAGAGATTCAGTCTCAGGGTACCAGACTGAAGCTTGACGGGTTGTTTTGGGGATTGTTTGGTTTCTTTATTTCTGCATTTCTTCATCTAAAAATGTAGCAAATAGCCGGTAACACTATTACCTCTTTCTTAAACACTTCACACACACCTTTTAGCTTGACTGATAGTGTGTTTAAATAAAGAGTTTAAAATATCTGAAGAACAGATATTCAGTTTTAGTGAAATTCACTGATATTTGGTTTTCTGCCTTTTCGAATTGTTCCTTTCATACTTTCATTACGGTTTGAATGGCAGATTTTTTTTTTCTTAGAATGAGAAGCAAAAACACAAACACTGTAAAAAGCTTTCCATCTTTAACTGCCTTCAGTTAATCTTATTCCAACCATACCATTTCCAACTTTC